TCTTTCATACTCTTTTCTCTGCCATCTTATATTGTTATCTCCTTCTTATTGGCCAAACTCCATGAGGGGCTAGACAGGTCTAGTATCACAGTGTTCAAATACCCTTGTATTGTGAGGCTCCCTGGGATCCTCCCTTTTCCTTAACCACCTGTGAAAAATGAGAGACTGCTCTTGAGACTCCTGAATATAAGACTCCTCCTGTGCACACCACATTGCAAAACACAGCAAAGAGACTTTGGCCCACATCAGTCCACAGCAAAAGGGAAACACACTTGATTCCAGTCAAAGAAACATTCTCCAAAAAGGTATCCAAAAGTGAATATATCTCCCAATGGCTAGAAGTAGAAGAAGAGTCTCAGGTCTGAATAAAACAAGAAATATGCCTCCATCAAAAGAACACAATAACCCTCCTCCATCTCTTTAAAGAAATGAAGATGTTACCAAAATGTCAGAGAAAGAATTTAGAACATTTATGGTGGCAAAACTCTATCAGTTGGAACAGAAAAGAGACAAGGAGCTACAGGAGATTAGGAAGTCCATCCACAATATGAAAGAAGAAATGGACACTCTAAGAAAGAATCAGATGGAACTATTAGAGATGAAGTCTATAATACAGGAAAACAAAAACTCTCTTGAAAGTATTAAAAGTCAATTAGAACATGCTGAAGATTGAATCTCTGACATAGAAGATAAAACCACTGACCTAGAAAAAAACACCACAAAGATAGAGAAAATAACAAAAAAAAATGAGGATAATATATAAGAAATACTAGAGTCCATTAAACATCCAAATATCTGAATAATTCGTATCCCAGAAGGCAAAGAAACTAATAAGGGCATGGAAAATCTATTCCATGAAATCCTGGAAGAAAACTTCCGAAGTCTAGAGAAGCACTCTGACATCCAGAAATACAAAGGACTCAGAATAGAATCAACCCAAGAAGTTCTTCCCCAAAGCACATCTTAGCCAGAATGACCAAGTACACAGATAAAGACAAGAAACTAAAATTGGCAAGAGAGAAACATGACTTTCAAAGGTAATCCCATCAGGCTAACTCTAGACCTTTCAACAGAAACAATGCAAGCAAGGAAAGAATGGGAAGACGTATTGAAAGTGCTTTAAGAGAGAAACAATTTCAACCAAGATTATTATATCCAGCAAGATTATCCTTCATATGGGAAAAATAAAAAAGATTAAAATCTTCTCAGACAAACAAAGCCTGAAAGATTTTGCCAACACCAGACCAGCTCTTCAAGAAACTCTGAAGAGTGTCCTGTTTCAGGAAAATTAAGGATGAACAACCAGAAATAAGAGAATATAAGAAACCAAGACAATTGTCAACTTAAAGGTAGGGACAAGTCTAGAAATATCGATAATAACATTGAATGTTAATGGATTAAACTCTCCCATCAAGAGACACAGACTGGCTGAATGGATAAATAAACAAAAACCTTCTCTCTGTTGCCTACAGGAAACACATCTCATGGATAAAGGCATACATAGACTAAAAGTGAAGGGCTAGAAAATGGTATTCCATGCAAATGTGAACAAAAAAAAAAAGCTGGAGTAGCGATACTAATTTATGACAATATAGGCTTTGAAACAAAGACTGTTCAAAGAGACAAAGAAGGGCACTAAATTGTAGTAAAAGGGTTAATCCATCAGGAAGATATAACACTAATAAATACCTATGTATCTAACCACAGGAGCACCCAACTATGTGAAGGAAAGACAGATCTAAAAGGAGAGATAGACTGCAACACACTGACTGTTGGAGACCTCAACACCCCACTATCTCCTCTGGACAGATCATCTAGACAAAAAATAAGAAAAGAGGTAAAGGATTTAAATGATATCATAAATCAAATGGACTTAACAGACATCGATAGAACCTTACACCTGAAAGCCACAAAATAAATATTCTTCTCACCCCCACATGGAACCTTTTCAAAGATTGACCACATGATAGGGCAGAAAGCAAGCCTCTACACATTCAAAGGTATAGATTCATATTCCAGCATCTTCTCCAACCATGATAGAATCAAACTTGATTTTAATTTCAAGAGAAATCCTCAAAAATACACAAATACATGGAAACCAAATAGCCTACTCCTGAATGACTTCACAACTACTGAAGAAATTAAGACTGAAATAAAAAAGATTCATGGAAGCCAATGACAATGAAGACATGAGTTTTCACAATCTTTGGGACACTGAAAAAGCAGTCATAAGAGGGAAGTTGATAGCAATTAGTGCACACATAAGAAGATGTAAAGAAGGCAAATGCATCACCTAACATTGTGCCTCAGAGAATTAGAAAAGCAACAGAAAAAAAAAAACCCTCAGGAGAAAAGAAATAATAAACATCCAAGCAGAAATAAATGAAATATAAAATAAACAAACTATACAGAAAATAAATGAAAGTAAAAGCTGGTTCTTTGAAAAGATAAACAAAATCGATACACCACTAGTGAGACTTTTTGAGAAGAGAGAAAGGAACCAGGTAAATCAAATTTGCAATGAAGCTGGTAATATAACAACACAATAGAAATACAAAACATCATTAGAGGATACTATGAACAACTATGTGCTTTAAAAAAATAAAAAACAGGAAAATCTGGATGAGATGGACAAATTTTTGGACACATATAATCTACCAAGATTGAGCCAGGAGGGTGTAGCAAGTCTCAATAGGCCCATAACAAGCCAGGAGATTGAATCAGTAATAAATAACCTCCCAACAAAGAAAATCCCTGGTCCTAATGGCTTCACCTCTGAATTCTACAAAACTTTTTAAGACAAGTTAACCCCCATTCTGCTCAAGTTATTTCTAAAGATTTCAAAGGGTGAAAATCTCCCAAATTCATTCTATGAAGTCTCCATCACCCTTATCCACAAAACAGATAAGGATAGGACAAGGAAGGAAAATGATAGACCAATATCTCTGATGAATATAGATGCAAAAATTCTCAACAAGATACTAGCAAATTATAACAACATATAAAATAAAGATTATACATCACGACTAGGTAAGCTTTATTCAAGGGATACAAGGTTGGTTCAACATATATAAAACCATAAACGTAATACACCATATTAACAGAAATAAAGATAAAAACCACATGATCACATCAATTGATGCAGAAAAAGCATTTGATAGGATACAACATCCCTTCATGATCAAGACTCTCAGCAAAATTGACATAGAAGGGTCATTTCTCAACACAATAAAAAGTATCTGTGAAAAACCCAGAGCTAACATCATCTGAATGGAAAAAAGCTGAAAGCTTTTCCACTAAAAATGAGTACAAGACAAGGATGCCCATTTCTTCAATCCTTTTCAATGTAGTACTGGAAGTCCTTGCCAATGTAATCAGAAATGAGGATAAAATAAAAGGAAAAGAAGAGGTGAAACTATCTCTATTGCAGATGGCATGATTGTATATGTAGAAAATCCAATGGTATCCATCAAAAAATTCCTGTAAGTAATACATGAATGCAGTAAAGTTGCAGGATACAAAATCAACATACAGAAATCTATAACATTTCTATATATGAAGAGCAGGCAGACTGAGATAGAACTGAAAAAGTAATTCCATTTACCATAGCTACAAAAAAGTATAAGATATCTAGGAATAAGTATAACCAAATAAGCTAAAGGACTCCACAAGAAAAACTATGAGAAGCTAAAAAAGAAATTGAAAATGACTCAAAAAAATGGAAGGACATTCCATGTTCCTGGATTGGAAGAATTAATATAATCAAAATGGCAATTCTACCCAAATTAATCTACATATTTAATGCAATTCCAATCAAAGTGTCAGAGGCATTCTGCACAGATCTAGAAAAGACAATCATAGAATTTGTTTGGAATCATAAAAGACATTGCCAAAACAATCCTGCCCAAGAAGAGTGGAGTTGGTGGCATCTCATTGCCTAACTCAAAAATATACTACAAAGCTGTGGTAATCAAAACAGCATGGTATTGGCACAGAAATAGACAGTGAACCATTGGAACAGAATAGAGTCCCCAGAAATAAATTCCCAGACATACAACCAAGTAAGTTTTGTCGAAGGGTACTAGTCTGCCAAAACAATCCTGCCCAAGAAGAGTGGAGTTGGTGGCATCTCATTGCCTAACTCAAAAATATACTACAAAGCTGTGGTAATCAAAACAGCATGGTATTGGCACAGAAATAGACAGTGAACCATTGGAACAGAATAGAGTCCCCAGAAATAAATTCCCAGACATACAACCAAGTAAGTTTTGTCGAAGGGTACTAGTCAATCCAGTGGGGAAAGAAAAAGTTCTTTAGCAAATGGTGCTAGAATAACTGGAAAAGATAACTGCAGAAAGATGAATCTGAACTCCTGCCTCTCATCTTTGACAAAAATCAACTCAAAGTGTATCAAAGATCTAAACCTAAGATCTCAAACTATAAAATTGCTGCTGAAAAACACTGGGGAAACAATGGGAGACATTGGGGTAGGCAAAGCCTTCTTAAATAAGACCCCCAAAGCACAGTCAATAATCCCAAAAATAGACAAGTAAGATTACATTAGATTAAGAAGTTTCTTTATGGCAATAAATAAATAAATTTTAGAAAACACAGTAATTAGTGTGAATCAACAGCCCTCAGAATGGGAAAATATTTTGTAAATTATGTGTCAGATAAAGGACTGATAACCAGAATACACAAGGAACTCAAGCAGCTGTCCTGAAAAAAAAGATGATTAACCCTATTAAAAGATGGGAGAATGAGTTGAAAAAACCACTCTCTAAGGATGGCATACAAATAGCCAAAAGGCATATGAAAAAATGCTCATCATCCCTCATCATTAGGGAGATGCAGATCAAAACCACAATGAGATACCACCTAACCCCAGTCAGAATAGCTAAGATTTTTAAAAAATTAAAAATAAGTGCTGAGGAGCCGCCAGCAAGGGGGCAAGGAGGGAGCTCTTTAGAGTATAGCCAGAAAGGAGAAGTTGAGATTACAGACATCCTGCCACAATGATTTCTGCAAAGTCCAAACTTGTACCCTATGGCCTCAAGACTCTGCTGGAAGGAGTTAGCAGAGCTATTCTCAAAACCAATCCAGCAAACATCACCCAGTTTGCAGCAGTTTATTTTAAAGAACTTACTGTGTTTAGAGAAGGGAATACTTGTATGGATATAAAAGATCTGGTTAAACAGTTTCACCAGACTAAAGTGGAGAAATGGTCAAAAGGAGCAACACAAGAGAAGAAACCAAAATGTGTGAAAGAACCAGAAGGAACATCTGTAGTTTCTCAAGAACCAACCTGGATGGAAAAAAATCTACGGACACAGAGGACAATATAGCTAGACCATTGTTTATCAACAAAACCACCCAGTTTCCAACAGTTAATGCTGAATTTCTAGAGCCTGAAGAGAGAAATGAAGCAGTTCGTGGTCCTTCTTCCAAACCACACACCTCTAAGGTTATCACCCCACCCTCATCACCAGCTCCAGCAGCTGTCTCTCCAGAGTTTGCCTATGTCCCAGCTGACCCAGCTCAGTTTGCTGCTCAGATGTTAGGTAGTTTCATCTATTCATTCTGATCAATCTGAGGTTTTAATGGTGGATGTGGCAACAAGTATGCCTGTTTGTATCAAGGAGGTGCTGAGCTCAGAGGCTGCTGAAGATACCATGGTAGCCGGTTCTCTGGTGTGTTCTGGAGAGAAGGCGCTGTGCAGGTTGTGAGCCAAAAATCTGTCCGTGTAGATTTGAGTTCTAAACCTCAAGACAATGAGGCTGAACCACCAACAGCTTCCTCATTCCCCTTGCAGGATGAACAACACCCTCCTGCTTATGACCAAGCTCCTGAGGTCCCTTTGCAGGCTGATATTGAGGTTGCATCAACCATTCATATATCATCTATATATCAAGATGAGCCTGTGACTGAAGGAGTTGTTTATATTGAGCAAATACCAGAACAAATATGTATCCTTTTTACTGATCAAGTTGCTTGTCTTAAAGAAAATGAGCAGTCACCACCAGTTAGTCCTAAACCTGTAGTAGACAAGAAAGCTTCAGGCATGTCTGGAAAATCTGTAGATTCTGCAAACTTTGCACTGTTGGAGGAGAAGGCAAATTATGAGTCCTCAGTACATGTGGAGGCAGAAGCTACACTTCTGTTGCCTGATCTCTTTGCAAGGTCAGTCTGAGGGACCTGTACAACCCCTGGATGCAGAGAGCATTCTCAAAATAGGCTCTGAAAAATCTCTGCACCTGGAAGTGGAGGTCATTTCAATAGTCCCTGACAATACTGGGCAGGAGGAGTCACGGGAAAACTCTGCACCCCAGGAGTCGGAGGTCAACCCTGTGCTCCCTTGGAAAGCTGCAGAAACAGTGCACTTGTGTGTACCTGTAAAGTCGTCTAGTGGCCCCTTCCCTCCTGCTTCAGAAGGTCTTACTGAACCAGAAATCAAACCAGAAGGGGAAGCAGCATCTGTACAAGGTTGATGGAGCCAGCAATAGAAACAAGCGAAGCAGGACAACCACCACCATATTCTAACATGTGGACCCTTTATTGTCTAACTGATATGAATCAGCCAAGTCCCCCATCACCACCACCTGCACCTGGGCCTTTCCCCCAGGCAACCCTCTATTTATCTAATCCTAAGGATCCACAGTTTCTGCAGCATCCACCAAAAGTTATTTCTCCAACTTATGTGATGATGGACGACAGCAAGAAGACCAGTGCCCCACCTTTTATTTTAGTAGGTTCAAATGTTCAGGAAGCACAGGATTGGAAACCTCTTCCTGGACATGCTGTTGTTTCACAGTCAGATGCCATGAAGAGATATGCTGCAGTACAAGTTCCCATCGCTGTGCCTGCAGATCAGAAATTCTAGAAACATACCCCAAATCCCCAGAATGCTAGTCCACCCACAAGTGGACAAGATGTCCCCAGACCACAAAGTCCAGTTTTTCTTTCTGTTCCTTTCCCAGTAGAAGATGTAGCCAAAAAAAGTTCAGGATCTGGTGACAAAAGTACTCCCTTTGGAAGTTACGGTATTGCTGGAGAAATTACTGTGACACTAGCTTTTGACAGAAAATGGATGAATATGGAAAACTTACTGCTGAGTGAAGCAAGCCAGGCTATGAAGGGTAGACATTGTATGTCTCCACTTAATATATACTGAGTGTCTGCCCTCTATGGCCAAAACTGACTGACTAAAGGTTATAGAAACTAAGAAAATGGTTGTGAATACCAGATACAATGTGGGAAGACAGTGGGTGAAGGAGTAGAGTCTGAGGAAAGACATTAAGGAGGAAAAGAGAGGAGCAAGGCATTTATGGGATGAAGAAATGGATTATTATCTATTGAGGATAACTTTCTAGTATGGTGAACTGGACTGGTAAGAAATGTATACATGTCAGAATATTCACTTTGCAAGTTAAGTAACGTGATTGAATATATAAAAGAAATAGAAATTAAAAAGGAAAATTAGTTTTACTAAACAGCACTTGAAACTTCTCTTTAGCTATTATGTTTTGATCACCTGTGAGGAACGAAATATTAAAGAAGGCTGGTTATTAATCTGATTATCCTGTTAGATGAATACCATGTAACATAGAACATAAATATTCTCTGTTATATTGAAACAATTATAATGCATTAAACATGGTGTTTCAAATGACTTTGTAGCTGCATTTTAAGTACCTGTTCTCTTAATCTGTCTACAACAATTTCCAGCTCTTGCAAACAGACAGCTATTTGTTTGTCAATATTTAATTGGGTGCCCAATGCTTGATTAAACAGTGAATACCACTAGAGCACTTGAAATAGACTTAGGTGAGACTACTTTGGGCAAAAACAAATGCAGTAGTACAGGCAAATTGTACAACATGATCAGAAGAGTAGTGACAATAAACCTGTTTGGGGAATAAGAAAATAGCAACAATTACAATGTCCTTGGTCATTTGTGAGTCCAGGGCAAGAAGATTACATTACTTAAAACGCCTGTTGTTAGTAAGTGGTAAGCAAAAGTAACATGCGTTCACAAGCATCTATGCCTAGTTTTTACATAATACCAATCCTGGACATTTTCTTTCTCATATCAAAAAAAAAAAAAAAAGAGAGATCTAAAAGCAATATATCAGAAATTATTTTATTTCATTTTATTTTATTTTATTTATTCACATTCATTTCTTGTACATCAAAACAGTATACAAAATACGATTTTTTCTATCCAGAAAACATTGTATATTGGTTTAATCAAGGGTATTACCATACATGTTATCATCAACAAATAATTTTCTATTTCTTTTTTCTTATATATTTTGGGGTTTTTTTTCCCCCTTGATTCCCTTCCTCTCACTCTCTGCCAATTTCCCCCCTTATCCGACAGTGTCTCTGGTATCTACAATTGTTTTCCATTCTATTTTTTTCACATTTTTCGATTCACTAAATATATTAATTAAGTTAAAATTTTCAATAGCAAACATAGTTGATATATACATATCTATGAATACTTATCTGACTTTAGGCATAAACCTCAGTGAGTAAAGTGAGCATACTATAAAGTAGCTCCTGCTGGGGCGATATAGCTTACTGTACTCATTAAATAAGTATTAATGGGTATTTTTAATGCATTTTTTAATTTCAAGAAAAACAGTTTTAGTTTTAATAGATCAAAATTTTTAAAAATGTTAACAGAGATTTGCTTTAAACTTAAAGACAGACAAAAATACTAGAATTCATTTCAAATAGTAGGTAGATGAATCAACAGCTCAAGGGAAGACAAAGACAAAAGTCCTTAAATATGGAAATCAAAGGATAGAAGAAAATCAGTGATTTTTTTAGTCTAAAGTTAAAAAATTCTATTTCACTATTTCAGATTCATGTAAATAATATCTCTTCTACTGAATTTGCAGTGTTACTGTGGTCTGATTTTTCCCATTAAATCCTGGAAATAACATTCAATATTATTATTGATATTTCTGCACTTACCCCTACCTTTAAGTTAGCCTTTTTCTTGGTCATTTCTTGTTCTCTTATTTTTGTCTGTCTTTAGTTTTCCTGATATAGCACTCCTTTGAGCACTTCTTGAAGAGCTGGTCTGGTGTTAATAAATTCTTTCAGATTTTGTTTATTTGAGTCTGTTTTGGGCCTTTCTTCCCATATGATGTATAATCTTGCTGGATATAATATTCTTGATTGAAATTGTTTTTCCCTTAACATTTTGAATATATTTCCCCATTCTTTCCTTACTTACATTGTTTCCAACGAGAGGTCCAATGTTAGCCTGATGAGATATCCTTTGAAAGTAACTTGACATTTCTTTCTTGCCAATCTTAGAATCTTGTTTCTGTCTGTGGTTTTGGTCAATCTGGCTATGGTGTGCCTTGGGGAAAATCTTCTTGAGTTAAATCTATGTGGGGTTCTTTGTATTTCTTGGGTCTGGGAATTTGAGTTCCTCTCTAGATTTGGATAGTTTTCTTCCAGGATTTCATGGAACAGATTATCAATGCCCTTATTAGATTCTTTGCCTTCTGAGATACTGATGATCCATATGTTTGGATGTTTAGTTATATCTAGTATTACTCATACGTTATTCTCACTTTGATGGGGTTATTTTCTCAGTCTTCGTGGTGAATTTTTCTAAGTCAGAGGTTCTATCTTTCTACATCTGAGATTTGAACTTCTGCATGATCTAATCTGCTTTTGATATGTTCAAGGGAACATTCAATTTCCTATATTACAGTCTTCATCTCTAACAATTCTGTTTGATTCTTTTTTATGGTGTGTATCTCCACTTTCAGATCATTCAGAAACTTCCTCACCTACTGAAACTTTTCTCCTGCACCTTCTGGAGTTCATTGTCTCTCTTCTCTTGCATCTCTGTTAGCTTTGTCACTATGATGTTTTAAATTCTTTATTTGACATGTCCATGAGTTCCCTTGTATTCTCTGTGGAGGAAGAATAGTTATTCTTTTCCCTTAGAAGAGAGATATTTTCTTGATTTCTCATATTTCTTGTGCCTCTGTGGTGGTTTCTGGTCATCTGATGGGTTATATGCTTTTTCCTAGTTTTTGGAGTTAAATCTGAGCTTTCAGAGGAATGTAGGAGGAGGTGATGTGCACTCTCTAACTTCCATTTTTTTCCCTTTGCACAGCTGACTCAGTGAAAATTGAGGATTAATCTGACTCTAAAAGTATTCAGATATTTAGCTACTGAGCACCTAGACCTTGTAAGGCTGAGCAGAAAAGTGAAAAAGATAAAAAGAAAGGAAAAAGGAAAAAAAAAAAAAAAAACACCAAAAGAGAGACAAAGGCAAGACCAAAAAAAAAAAAAAAAAGAAGGAAAAAAAGAAATTTTTTTTTACGATAAATTAAAATGGCTTGGCACACTAACACGCCATGCAAATGGGGCCACTCAGAACTCAAAATAGATGGCTGCTGATTGGCTTATCCTATGGGGGTGGGGGTAAAGTAAGAATTAAAAAGAGTAGTAGAGAGCTAAGACGTTAAAAAAAATTTTTTTTTTTTTTTGGAGAGATTTTCACTGTAGGGCGCGTGCGCTCGCCAGACAGACAGAGAGAGACATAGAGACAGAAAGCGAGAAATCACCCCCCAGGGGGGATGGTCACGCCGCAATCCCTTCTCCTCCATTCTCCTCTCGGGATCTTGGGCACGCACGCACACGCGCCCGGCGTGAGTTTTAAGCCACCGGGTCCAGGACACGAACCGCGGTCGACTACGTGGGAGTCCAGTGACATAGCCATTACGCTAACTGCTGGTTCCCCAAAAAAATTTTTTTAATTAAAAATATAGAGAGAGAGACAGAGAGAATAAGTAGGGTGCTTTAACCTGGCTCCTTGACTAGATCTGGGGAACAGGAGAGTAAAGTCTGGGCAGAGGGTCTTCAGTGTCCTGATCCCTGAATGTGGCCTCTCAGAACTCAAATATAGATGGCTGCTGATTGGCTTATATTCTGGGGGCAGGAGGAAAAGTAAGACTTAAAAAGAGAAGCAGAGAGCTAACAAGTTTTTGGGTTTTTTTTTAAGTTTTCTTAAACTAAAAAGAGAGAAAGATGGAGAGAGAGAGATAATAAGTAGGGTGTTCTAACCTGGCTCCTTGGCTAGATCTGGCGGGCAGGAGGGTGAATTCTGGGCAGAGGGTATTTTTTTTAAAGAATTATTTATTTAACTTTATTTATTCATTCATTTAATTTGATCAGAGAGAGACAGAGAAAGAGAGAGAGAAAGTGAGAAAGCAAGCCACCAGGTCCAGGATCTGAACCATGGTTGGCCATGTGAGAGTGTCCAGTGCCTTAACCACCACGCCACCTGCTGGTCCCTGGGCAGAGGGTCTTTGATGGCCCTGATCTCAGAAATTATTTATCTATGTAGTTATATAAGTAATAGATTTGTTATTTTCCCACAGTTATTCCTCCTTTTTAAAAATGTTTTGAGTAGGGGTTGGGCAGTTTTATATAATGGAATATTAGGACTCATCAGTGTTTAGTGGAGGCTTTGAAGACACATAGAATATTTCAAGAAGAAGATGCAGATGGGAACTGTGGAAGACAAAAGGTATTTTCAGTAAGATTAGTATCTTGAAAACTCCCTAATTTAATAAATCTAAGAATAGTATTGGGGGCCAGCCCGTGGCCTGGTGGTTAAGGGCGCTGGACTTCCACATGGTTGACCGCAGTTCAATCCTGGACCTAGCAGCTTGCTTTCTCACTTGCCCCCTCTCCTCTCTCTCTCTCTCTGTCTGTCTCTCTCTCTCTTTCTGTCCCACTCTGGTCAAATTAAAATAAATAAGTAAATAAATAAAGATACATTTTAAAAATTATTTTAAAAATAGTATTAACATGTTCTGGAAGGATTTTGGAGGGTATCCATACCTGTGTAACAAGAAGCAAACAATTAGGGGCATAATTATTTAATGTAAAGCAGATAGGCAGGATTGCAGAAGTTCTTTGAAGAGAATAATTAGTTTGACGGTGTTCTTCAGGGGCTCTAACAGACTAGGTACTTGTTAGAGTCTGTTCACAGGAAGCAATTGTGAAACCTTAACTGACAA